AATATCCATGTAATGCAATACTATCTCCTCCAAGACATAATTTGAGGTTCAAAGAGCCTTTTAAGTACTTCATGATTCTCTTGATGGTTGCCCAATGCATAGGACCTGGTTTTGCCATGTGTTGGCTTACCACACTTACTGCAAATGCAAGATCCATCCTTGTGCCCACCATTGCATACATGAGTGAGCCTACTGCTGCCTTGTATGGTATGCCTTGCATTTGATGCTCCACTTCAGCATATTCCTCATCCGTGAGCTTCAACAACTTCAAGTTGGCCTCCAAAGGGGTTCCAATGGGCTTGCAATCTCCCATGTTGAATCGTTTCAACACTTCTTCAATGTACTTGCTTTGGCTCAATGTGATGGTCTTTGACACTCTATTTCTTGTGAATTCCACACCCAAACAATAGTGGAGCTCTCCCAAATCACTCATCTCAAATTCTCTCTCTAATTTCTTCTTCAACCAAACCAATCTTACCATTGTGTTGCTTAAGATGATTAAATCATCTATATAGAGAATCACAACCAGCAAGAAGTCTTTGGCTTGCAACACATACAAAGAATGGTCAGCTTCACTCCTTACAAAACCTTCATTCACAAAGAATGAGTCAATACGTTGGTACCATGCTCTTGGTGATTGTTTGAGTCCATACAATGACTTCTTCAACTTACAAACAAGGTTGTGTTTGTCTTGTTCAATGAATCCTTGAGGTTGCTCCATGTAGATGTCTTCTTCCAATTTTCCATTCAAGAATACTGTCTTGACGTCCATTTGGTGCATCTCAAGGTCCATTGCTGCTCCAATTGCTACAATGGTTCTAATGGTGGTGAACTTGGCCACGGGTGCAAATGTCTCATTAAAGTCCACTCCAGCAACTTGTGAGTAGCCTTTGGCAACCAATCTTGCCTTGTACCTCACAATATTGCCCATAGCATCTCTTTTGGTTCTAAACACCCACTTACATCCAATTGCTGAACGATTTGGTGGAAGTGTAGTCAACTCCCATGTTGCATTGTCCATAAGAGATTTGTACTCTTCTTGCATGGCACTCTCCCACTTCATTGCATCACCACACCTCATTGCATCACACAAAGTCAATGGATCATCAAGAAGAGCAACATTGGCATGGTCTTCACTTACTTGTGGAAAGATGTGATTCTTCCACCATTCACCTTGTGGTCTTCTTTCACGTGTTGGATATCTTCTTTCATGCAAAGAAGATGAGCCTTCATGCACCTCTTCCTGCCTTGTATGGCTCATGGAGTTCCTTCTCTCACTCCTTGGTTGGTATTCTTCATCTTCATTCTCTTCATTGTCTTTGTTGTATCTTGCTGGAATACAACTCTTCATAGTGTTGGGCTCTTCTTCATCTATATCTTTACTTTGAGAATGTTCTTCTTCATCTTCTTGTTTGTTTGTTGGAGTTGAAGATGTGTCCACAAACACACCACTACTCCCACTTGGACACATCTCCCACTTTTCACTACCACTCTTATGCTCCAAGAACTCTACATCACGACTTTTGATGATCTTTTTGGTATCTAAACACATGAGTCTATATGCCTTGGTGCCTTCACAATAACCAAGGAATATACATCTTGTACCTTTTGCATCAAGTTTGCCTCTCATACTATCTGGAACCTTGGCATATGCAATGCATCCAAAAATCCTCATGTGAGATATGCAAGGTTTCTTACCAGTCCAAGCTTCTTGGGGAGTCATTCCTTCAAGTGCACTTGTGGGACACCTATTTCTTGTATACATGGCATTTACCACAGCTTCCGCCCAATACTCATACCCAAGTTTTTGAGCATGAAGCATACTCCTAGCCATCTCCACAATGGTACGATTTGCTCTTTCAGCAACTCCATTTTATTGTGGGGTGTAGGGAGTGGAGGTTTGTCTTGCAATGCCTTCATGTTTCAATAATTCATTAAAGTGATGAGACAAATACTCACCTCCATTGTCCGATCTGAGCACCTTAATCTTGTGCTCACATTGCTTCTCCACAATTACTTTCCACTCCTTAAACTTGGCAAAACACTCACTCTTGGCCTTGATGATGTAAATCCATACCTTCCTTGAGAAGTCATCAATAAATGTGACAAAGTACCTTGCTCCACTCATAGATGGTGTCCTCATAGGTCCATAAACATCCGAATGCACAAGCTCCAGTAATTGGTTTGCTCTTGATGCAACTCTGCTAGGAAATGGTGTCCTATGTTGTTTACCTTGAATGCATCCCTCACAAGCAAAATTCATGGTAGAATGGCCAAGGTCTAAGCCACTTACCATAGATTGAAGCTCTTTCATGCTTTTGGCATTCAAATGCCCAAGTCTTTGATGCCAAATGCCCACCTTGTCTATATTTGATGGAAATTCAGCAAATGCAGCAACCTCCACTCCATTGATCTTCTTGCAATTGATAATATAGAGATTTCCATCCCTAGTTCCTTTTGCTACTTCTTTGCCCTCCATGGTTCTCACAAAACACCCATTCATATCAAATTGCACTCTACATCCATGAGTTACAAGTTTACTCACCGAAAGGAGGTTCTTCTTCATCTTTGGCACATGCAACACTTCCTTGAGTGTGATCCTCTGGCTTGTGCCCTTCACTACCACCTCTACTATAATAGTATCCATTCCAATGGCTTGTACCATACCATTATCACCTAACCAAACCTTGGTGGCTGGAATTGGTTGATAAGTGTTAAATGAACACTTGTATGGAGTCATGTGTTTGGTACATCCAGAATCCACAATCCATTTGCTCATATCAAGCATGGAGGGAGTTTCTTTTGCCATAAATGCAAAGTCTTCACCTCCATGGTCATCAAAAGCATTGTTGGCATTCTCTCTTTCTCCTCTCTTAGCTTTGAAACAATTTCTAGCAAAGTGGCCTGATTTTCCACAAACGTAACAAGTTTTAGATGGATTACGTTGAGAAGGGACACTTGCCTTACTTGGTCTTGTAAATAGTGCTGATTGCTCCCCAATAGACTCCTTTTGCTTTCTTTTGGTCACTTCATGAGCTAGTCTTGCCGTTACATAGTCCAAAGTAAGGTCTTTCCTTGAAATGGACTCCAATGCCACAATGAGGGAGGAATAGGAGTCTGGAAGGCTTGAGAGCAATGTCATCACAACATCCTCTTCATGTAAAGGCTTGTCAATAACAGCAAGTTGGTTTGCAAGTGCCTTTACCTTATTTACATGAGCCATGAGATCTTCACCTTCTTCCATCTTCATGGTGAACAACTTTTGCCTTGACCATAGCACATTGGAAAGATTCCTACTCTCATAGACATTGCAAAGAGTCTTCCATGCATCTGCTGCTCCTTTGCAAGAAATGACATGAGCAAAGTTGGTTTCATCTAAGTTGGTGGCAATCATACCAAAAGCCTTCTTTTCTCGTCTTTTGAAGTCCTTTTGCTCCTTCATGCTTGCCTCTAATCCAGGTGCCTCTTCCTCCTCACATACTATCTCCCAAAGATCCAATGACGCCAAAAGTAGCTCCATTTTGGCCTTCCAGTGGTGAAAGTTGTCACCTCTAAACTTTTCTACCATTCTTAAGCTATCACTCTCAAAAGATGCCATCTCAAGCTACAAGTAGGTCCAAAAATCTCTTGATTTGGAGTTGTAATGCAAAAGATATGACTACTCAAAGATTGCTGAACTACAAACTCAGAATTCGCTGTTTTGCAACTTTTTGCATACTTTGAGTCCAAATCACGTCTAAATGGTGGGAAATGCTATGTCATGTAATTCTATGGCTTTCAAACATCTCCCTCACATCAAAATGACTCAATTTCTCATAAAACTCTCAAATACTAGTGCTACTTCAACAAAGACACTATCAAGGTCTTGCACTAACCTCATACACTCACAAATCCAGGAGTAATGACTTCAACAAAACACTAGTAATACTATACCATAAGATCTCAACCACCAAACAAGCAACAAAGAAAATAAAATGCAAGAACAACTTACTTGGTAAGAGAATGTGGGCCCATAACCTATTGAAACATAGAAATTAAACTCCACACAAGCAAGTTAGGACCAGCAAGATTGCACTTCACAAATCAAGTGTGGTATGAGATAATTCTTCTCATTCCAACCTCTTGCTTATATTCTAGTATCAAGGTACCAAGTGCTACAACCCATATGGGATATCACTTAGGACCAGTCCTACCCTTGTACTCTAAGGCACTATGGACCAGCAACTAACATTATGGGATATCTCTAACAATACATATATTCTATTTGACCATTAGCAACTACTTGAAGAGTACTTTCTTTCAACAGTTTGTACCATAAATTTTGGATTAGTGAGTTTATAATGTCTTTTTCATGCAAATTAATATATTAAAATAACATTAAATCTTATCATGGTCCATCACAAAAGGTGGTTAATCAATTTCACAAGATGATAAATAAAGACTAAAACTGATTGATTGTTGTAGTAAGCAACAACTTCTATTTCTACTCTTTAGATGTACAATAAGATTCAAAAGTGTAATGATTTCTATAAGAACACGCCTTCAGAATTAAAAATAAATCCTTTAAAATTACAATTTATACTTTGACTAGCCTGAAAAAAGGAAACTAGAAATACAATTATAAAAATAAATAATTGTTTTTAATGTTCAAAAAGTAATTCATTCATTTATTTTTCGTTTATATTTTAAAACTTATTTATTTTTAATTTAAATTAAAAATATTTATTTATAAATTTAGAAATTTAATACCATTCAGATTTTTATTCTAGTCTTCATTGTTTTATTATATCAAATAATGGATTTCAGGTTTCTCGTCAGCAGACAGCCTCGGTACCAGGGCAAGGAATGGGGCTGCCCAAAAGGAGCGGGCAGCCCCTGTCCATCAAGATGAACGAATTAGCGGATGAATATTTCATGGATGGATGGGATATGGATGATCATATGGATGTATGAATAAATGGATGGATAGATGGACGTCATCACTCTAAGCTGGTCTGCTTGTGGAAGTTTTCGCGCGCATTGTCCTGTTTGTTGTGTGATTCCAGAGTAGTTTGAAGGCTTCTTCGCTGTTTTGGAAACTGCGATGGAAATTTATGAGCAGGTCTGATTCTACATGGCTTTGTTGATCTGCTGACAGCACCTGCAGGCGGAATTGTGTTGCTAATCGTTGCGGAGAATTGCTGAGAGTTCATAGTTCACGGAATTGTTATCCATGGTGAGGAAGAACGGGGCATATCTCTATTAGAAACGAGGGATTGATGCGTCTGGACTGAGAGAGCTGATCGTCGGGAGTCGTGGTGATCTGCGTTCCCTCGAAGAATGTTGTCGAAGCTGGAATTCGAACAGCAGCAGGATGAGGGTCGACTTATCTGGGAGGCGAGTAAATCCGTTGCTTCGCTACCCCCTCTAGGTCGCGTGCTTAGTGCGGTATTTAATGCGGAGTGGCGAAGCGTAGAGAAGGCACTATGCTCTCATGATGTACGAGCGCAACAAGGTACATACTCGCTATCGACCACGAGCTTTTCGCAACGTTGCTGTGTAATGTTTTTACAGCGAGCTTCAGACTGCTCTTCTTCAGACATTAGGTTTTAGTTTTTGGCCGTACAAAGTCCATCGAGCTATCTTCTGTAGTTTCGTGTTGAATGTTGATGAGTGTGATGTGGATCGTGGTTTCATTTAGCAGGATCAGTAGGGCGGGCGTTGATCTCATTGCTGGGGCATGTTGAAAATGGGCTTACCTCGGGGGGATCCTTGGAGCAGATGTTCTGTCCTATGCTTGAGCATGTAAGTGAAGATGCTAACTTAAAGTGATTTGTACATCTCTTGAGATACTACTGAAAATTGGTAGACTATGATGATTACCACTGCAATTTCTTTTTCGGTGGTCAGAATTCAAATAGTGTAACTTAGTGGAAGGCTTGTTGATATTGTTGATATTTTCTTCGTCTGTGCAGATGGTTAAATCGAAAGATCAGGGCAATCGGAAAAAAATCGTGGGCATATTCCGCTGGACGTTTGCAGAAACCAAACACGGCCTACTTTTGGCTACGAGCCTGGCCGCCATAGTTGGAAGTTTGAAAGTGGACCATCGAGTTAAACTGGGTTGGTGTATTCTTGTGCGTGAACTGGTGGAGAGGGAATTTGTATTGTATCGTTCTTCGCCAAATGGTGAGTACCCTGGAACTCTGGTACCTGTGGAAAGCAAGTACGTGAGTAAGGATTTTTATTCTTGTTGTAGGGTTATACTTTATAATATGATGGGTATCCTCTGCGTGGTTCCTATCGATGAAGTGGTGAACAGGATGTTATTTAACGGATACGGGTTGATGTTAACCTCTGAACGCCATTTCTTTTCTAATTATATTGAAGTGAATTTAGATGAAAGTCTTTAAAATTTTAAGTTTCAAGAGCGGTGTTCCAAATTAATTTAGTAATGAGAATATCACATTTTTATGGCAATTAGGTGTGTTAATTTAGGGCATGGATATTTCGGAACCCCCTTCGCTAGTTTGGTACCCCGGAGTTGATAGTTGGTTGTTCGAGAGTTGAAGACAAGAGGACCAACATGGTGGTCACAATGATGACAAAATATTTTTATTGAGGTCATCAATTTGATCACAAGGGGTACCAAAATAGACAAGGGTATCTAAATATCTGTTCCCTTAATTTACTGATATCATTTTGAATTGGATTATCTACGATCTTTTAAACCAAAAAATTATTCCTAAAAACATATGCAACCTTAAGAATCGAGTATGGTGTATTAAGAATGGGATTCATACACTGATCCATTTTTTTTGGTTTAGTACGAATCATATTTTATGGTGTTAAATTCTGAACATCAGACACAGCATTTTGGTATGTTGGTAATTGTCGGATGGTTCTTGCCATGAAATTGTGCTTCAAATTTTGCATCCTTGAATTGCACTAGGAACATTTTTGAAGCGCTTCCTGGGCATCTCTGACGGTTAAGAGTTAATTGTGAAAATGATGGAATCAGGGCAGACAGATGAGGAGCTCACGGGACTTGTTACACCTCTTATGTGCTTCTCCAAATGTGTACATCCTCTGGTCCGAATCGCTTGCAACGAAAGGTTATTCCTGTCATTCATTTCCGGAAGATGGGTCACGTTTTTAGGGGTAGTACATGATCTGCTGGTTCTTTGAAGTTAGCTACTTGTGAGAACTACACCATATAACAAGGCTTGAAATTCACATGGATAACGCTGATGCCTACAATACTTTCTTCTAATTACTGTTTTTGCCCCTCCATGGTTGTGATTTCTTTAAGCGTCTGCATTTGCACATGGAATATTTAGCTTATTATTGAATTGATTGTATAGGAAAGTGGTAGCTCTTTTTGCACATTGCCATTCTAATAGACACTAACCTTGCTACAGAAAGAAAATTTTACCCGTGGCTAACATATTGTCTTTTAAATTTACAGCTCAAAGCAAGGAAAGCAGAAGGCACCAACTCGCCTCACAATGGCAGCTGCAGATTGTGTGACAGTGATTACAAAGGGCCTTATCTCTGATCCTCCGGTTACACCTACCAAATCAACCCCAGACAAACTAGAGAAGAATGAAGAAAGAGTCCTTGTTTCTCCTACCTCAAGATCTTCTAACGCAAGTGGACGTGTCTCCTTTATTAGTGAAGAGGCGAAGGCCAGTACATCAGGTTCACTTGAAACACATCGTTTCTCCCCGTGTTTGAGTGCATGTTAAGAAGTTGTGTAGATTGAAGTCTGCGTTTATTGATTGATATATCAACTTTATGCAGGGCGGGAAACCGAGAATGTTTTGAAGGAGCAAGGAGCGCGTGCACTTTGGGACAGCCTGGATGACATCATTCTGCTTGTTACTGAACTGCAGGAGGTATGACAGGCATGAACTTAATATTTTGACAATTGATGCGTCTTCTTCAAATTTTGCTTCATCCACGTTCTCATCATCGATAGCTTTATCTCTAACATTGACACAGTGGAATGAGCAAGCCCGGCCATTGCATGCACGAGGTCTTCGGCAGGTGCTAATGCGACTCAACCATCTGGCAAATTATAGAGAATCTTTGGAAACTCGATCTAAAGGTAAGTCCTTGTTTCTTTTCTCCTGTAACGTAGATTTTGAGATTGGCAATTAGCTTTCTACTCACAACTTCAGTTGGCATTTGGTTGGTAATTTAGACTTCTATCTCTTGTCTCGTTGGTACCATAAGTTGTCAAAGAGCGTGATGATTCTACATAATGTTTGTTTATGGGTTTTGGATGCATGAACTTTCTGTTCACATTAATTCTTAATTTCGCGGAAGTAATGCTCATAGGTTTTGGTGATTTTAGCAGATGCAGGGAGCATTCAAGTTGGGGTGTCTGTTTTGGCTGCATGTTGGCGTCAGTATAGCAGTTTGATACTGCTGGAGGACCGTAACTTGGTCCTTAACCCAGATCCTGTTATCCAACATTGGTTTGGAGCTCTCCAGGTAGCGTTATGTACCAGAGGTTTTGCATTCGTTAATAGAAACAAACGATTTTGGACCTTTAGCACCTGGCTTGAACATTATTATAATTTTAGAGTGCTTGTTTCTTTGAGCAGTATTGGACACAAGCAGCCCAAGAGATGGATGCAACCGTGACTCGGAGAGCTGATGAGATGCGTGGGTATGCTTTGACCTGCCTCGCACTAACACTTGGACGTCTTGACCCTCGGCGTTTAGAGGAAGTCTTGAAGGATATTGAGCCAGATCTTCTGCAATCGTTGATGAGTCAAGTATGAAACCCTGTCCTTCGTACCAAGATCTAGTAGGTTGACCAACAATAGGACCAGATCACTTGGTCAAGTGAGTTTGAATATGTAGTCATGTAATGATTTGTCTAGTAGATATCTAGAAAAGACACATACTGGGGGTTTTGAACCTATTTCATTCTTGTGACTGGTTGTCTTTTAGTGCCTGACTTAATTGACTCGAATCGTCTTTTTTCTATCCACAACAGGTACGAGAGGCCAATATTGAAGTGGTTGATATGGCAATGGCAATTCTGCGATCGTTATTGTTTCGAAGTTCGGGTGTGAACTCGAAGATGGAAGAAATCGTTCCTGTTCTGATGGATATGTTAGATACCAGAGACTCCGCAGCTAGGGCGGTGGTTCATTTGGTGGCTGAGTTCTTAGCCTCGTATCCTATGAAAAACTACTTGCTTATACTTTCTTACAAGTCTTATGGTTACAGTGCAAGTGTTTGCGAGTCAATTATTTTCCTTGGTGATCCAAGAAGTGTCGAAAGTTTTTTTGGCTATCTAATGCCATACTTAATAGCTAGATTCGTTTTCTTTCACAGTAGGTGATAGTGATTCTTTCATTCACAAGACTTTTAAAATTAGCTGAGAGAGCCACGTTTCTCATTTCCTATTTTTCATGTCTGCTCAAATTGTAGATTCTGTAGGGTTAAATTTGAGGTTAAGCGACATTTCGTACAGTTTGCAAGTTTATAAACTGAAAAAGAAACAACTTTCTTCAGTTCTAAAGTGATAAGTTCTTTAGGGTTTTTCGAAATTAGAGTTAGTTGATGTTTTTTTTCTCTACTTTCGTATGCTTGCAGTTTTTCCCTTAATTTAACATGTAGAAATCCAACATCGCCTGAACTGGAGAAAGTTTTGGCACGACTCGATTCAGAGGATCCATTGCAACGGCGCAATGGACTCGATGTATTAACTGAATTAGTTGCTGTTAGCACAAAATCTAAGGATACTGTGGACACCCCGTTGAGGTTCGTTTCTTCCTAGACTCTATTTTCATTCTGATTTCTCTGATAGTGTATGCAAACTTCTAGTCTTTTCACAGGTTTACGTACTTCAATTTTTTTTTTCAGTCTTTAAATTCTGAATCTGCAGCTTGAGTGGGAGGTTGTTCAATGCTAAAACTTAGTGGGACATCCGGTAGCTTTGTGTATTGTCCGCAGTGACTTTTAGTGCAGGATATCTCCTGCTCTAGAAGATGCAACACCTTCTCTGTGCAACATTCGAAGTATTAGAATATTTTTCACCTTCACCATTGTTGGTTGCTTGATTCTGTTCGATTAACTCATCATTTTGTATATCTGGCAGTCGCACAATTGCCGCTCACCTGTTTGATCGTCTAGGCGATGAAGAGCTTACTAACCGGGTGGAGGCATCTGCACTATTTGCAAAACTTGGTACAATATTCTTACTTGAGGTTGCAGGCTTTTCTGTATTAAATCTCGGTATTCTTACTAGTAGGATTGTAGATTGTCAACCTACACTGAAAATATAGGCGATCTGGTGCTACCATCTGATTTAGTCTATGGTAAATTTGTTTAAGGTGAATTGTGTGGTGTAGAGTAGTGAACAAAGGACTAGACAGTAGGAGCATTGTTTCAGTGTGTAGTTAGCAGCTCATAGTTCTGAGGGTTGATATGATTATCTGATGGCTCCTGGCATTATGCAGATCCTACCTTCACTCTGGCACAGTTAGTTCGATTAGTATACTCGCCAGATGCACGGAAGCGTTCAGCAGCAAGTTCAGCTGTACAAGCTGTTTTATGTAATCATGTTGACCAGTGTCGTACTGTCACTGTGCTGCTTGATTGTATCAGGTGTAAGACCTATTTCATTTTGGGGTTACAGTTGCGTCACTGATTTGCTAGACGAGCGTCAAATATTGTATACTGTAGTTTTTTTGATTTGCATGTGACTCTGACGACAGTTATGTGCATCTGTATTGCGAACTTTGAATGCTTCATTTCCCTCAACTTCATGACGGAGGTAAATTTTGAATAAGATGATGGCACGGGTCCTTCTTTTTGAAAATAAATCTCATTCCTTACGTTGTCGCATGGTTTCCTCTGATTTGCAGGGACTTAATGGCAGAAGTTGCCTCTGCTGACAGAACCAGAGGCTCTAGTAAGGGTATGTCGCATGCACATGTATCGAATGGATCTGTGTCTTTTTTTTTTACTTTCCTACAATCCAATTATTTACACTACTTTACTTTAACAAGAAAGAAATTATTATCCCTGGCCTTGTACCGCTTTTCTATATGCAAAGTTTCTTGTCCTCCCTGGCTAATATGTATTGTACATGTAATTTATGTCAGATCTTTTGACCACTAGTTTTCTTTTTCCAAAAATACCAAATGAAAGATAACGATTAGTTTGCTTCTCTCTCTACCCTTTTTCTCTCGGACTGCTCACAGGCTGCTTATGAGTTTTTAACTGATTCCAAATTGAATGCAGGAGGAGATTCTCTGGACCTTGATCGAGTGTTGGGTTTAGTAGCTACTTGGGCGTCAAAGGTAAACATATTGTGGACTATCATTCTGAGTAGCCTGCTTATAGACCACCTGAGGTGATGGTAGTATTTTGTTCGAACTCTCAGATGTATGCTAGCCATGTGATGTTGGAATTTTTCTATACTCAAAACCTGATTAATCTGAATACAATGACATCGCTAACTTGTGCATCACTCGAGCGCTTGTGGTACTAAGGTATTGTATTTGTATATCAGGTACAAGACTGGGAGCTTTTGATTGAAGTGCTTCTAGATAAGATGTACAAGGAGGCATCAAATCCTGTGATTCCTAGATTCTTGAGTCATATCAGTGGCCAATTGGCTGATTTACCCCATTTAGTTTTCCCACAGATTCATCAACGAATGCATGATCAGCCCAGGTTAAGCCACCTTTTTCTTCTTCTTCTTCTTCCTTTTTTTTTTTTTTTTTTTTTTTTTCTCGCATTGTGTGCATGAATACATCATTTCATACTGCTTCTGGGGTGTTGCTACGACGGATTTGTGACGTTACGTACCGTTTTCTGTGGTGGCCAGAATGAGTGAGGAAGTACTCTCTAATATCTCTAAAAACGAAGATGCACTTGCTGAGTTACTCTTTCAGCGCCTCAGTCCCCTACTTGTTCTTAGAATTCTCCCTCTGAAAGCATTTAATCATTCAAGTTCGAAGGATCTGTACGGTGGTATGCTGGATGAAGCGATTTCAGGTCAGTCGCTCATGAATAATCACATTTTCTCCCAATTGAACAACCCTATTCAGTTCCTTTGCTGTTAGTCTGGAGTTGTTACAATCAAGATTATTTGAAATATTATTGCTATTTTTACATGCTTCGGCAGGTGAAAGTCAAGACCAAGGGAGAATTTCAACAATCACCGGTCTTTTGCTCGAAAGGTGCATTTTTTCTCTAGTGAGTAATAAATGTTTAATGTGGTTGGTCTCAAATATTTTCAAGACTTTTATCGTGCCACATTCTTGTCTCAACAGTTGGCGAGTGATTGGTTGGCATGTTCAGGGTTCTGGTTACTGAAACTTGTTTCACTGTCAGGATGTGCAACGTGTGGGAGCTTGATGATGTTCGCAAAATTGCTGCAGAACTTACTGGTCGCCTTCTTCCTAATGTGAGCCCTTTTCCTCAGCTATGCATGGTCTGTGTTGAACCCTGACTGCAAATCAAAATACTTTATTAAAACTTTTCTTTCTAGAGCCAAACACAGAAGAATACCAATGTGTACACGCATCCCAACTATTCACTGACCTGTGTATATTGGGCAGGCTATGTTATCAGCAGTCTCTGCAGCACTAGAGGAAGCAGCCCACAATGTGAATACTGTGACGGCCAAGGCTTGTCTATTTTCCCTTTGTACCTCCCTAATGGTTAGTTCTTTGTCAAGAGATAGTCCTCGAGTCACAGTTGGCTCAATTACTTCCCATTATTCAGTATTTGGCTTTTCAGGAACAAACTGTTTGACGGTTCATAGTTCTATCAACCGGTATTGCTACTCAACTTGATTTATGATGCAGATTAGGGGCAAAGAGACTTTGGAGCACCCTTTGTTGGCACAGGTTCGAAAATCATTATCAAGTATCATATTATGGTCTCTAAATTCTCTGAAAAGTATGTTGTCCACCCTCCTTGCTACTGTACTCTTTATGATTTTGATTCTGGTCAGTTCTTTCTTTTATGTAAAGCGTCAGTTGAGCCAGTAACCTTAGTTTTTTTTATCGACAGAATTATGTTTAGGGGTTCATTAAATTCAGGTTATATGCCTCTTCAACAATGGTAGAAGTGAGTGGAACCATTGTTTGACAGGTTACTTCCAATGACATGCAGGCGCAAAGGAAATATCTAAGACACAACACGGATGCATTGACTGCTATGCAGCAATGATATGTGCAGAAGTTGGGACTTTAGGTTTAGTCTCCCAATTACCATCCAAGCCTGTTCAAAGCGACCAGAAAATGAAGAAACTCATTGAAGAGATTCCAGAAGGGGAATGGAGAAGTCATGCAAATGGTCCGGAACTGCCCCTTTTGTAGATGTCAATTTTATTCATTTTGTAGCATCCATTAGCTTATTGTGTTAGCACAAAGATTGTGCCGACACATATGAATAGATTCATCATAATTTTTCATGCGACCTTTTGATGGCGTCTCTAAATCTTACAAGTTTGAAACAGGAAAACAAGAGTCTCAGAAAAGGTGGGAAATACTCTGTTCAGTAGTCCAGTGTGTTCTAGGCAGTCAGCCTTTCCCTCCAATTTCAGCTACACTTGGATTATCAGAAGTTGAGAAAGGTAAAGTACTATTTCCAAGATCACACAACAACATTCCCCACGCATCCAATTCCAAATATACATTGTGACAAGTTAACTCCAGTTGTGGTTCTTTGATACCAAAGTGGTGTTTGAAACTTGTCTCATATCTACTTTTCAGGGCGTGGAGATGTCCAGCTGGCTCCTGAGGTTTATCGTGTGTGCATGGCCAATGTCCTGATCAGCAGTGCTCAAAAGATCTCTGCAAGTGCGAGACCTGCATATGCTCAGGCTGTAATACCGCCAATCATGAATTTTATCCAGGTAACTATCTCATCACTTGGAATTATTTGGCGGAACTATTTTGATATTAAACAAGCTAATTCGGTGGGAGGGGCTTGCAAACGCTGGGTTTTAAGCTTCTTGTCTTCTCAAAACAGTGCTCTTAAAAGATATAAAAATTGCTGATTATGTAGCCTTTATATCCTTAGTCTGGGTGAAGTAATTCTCATTTAGATTTTTGAATGGACAATCTATCATCTCATTGGATACGGACGTAATGAGTGATAGTTAACAAATCTAGAGATGTTGAACGATGTTTTGCGTCATTCTTATTCAAACACCTGAGCACAGACGAGCTCAGCTTCAAAACTACGGGGAGCGTGTTTTCAAGTCCTTTTCACTTCTGTTTATCATCTCAAAGGACTGGCTATAGTTCCATTTGCAGCTGATCTCCTCAATCTCTCCATCTCCACTATAGGAGGCCGTTTCTCAATAGAGGTGATTTCCCATCAGGTTTTGAATGTTATGATTCTGTATGAAAACTCTTAGATCTGTTATATTACAGTGCCATTTAATGCAGGAGACTCACACCATATATTGAATGTGTAGGATACCAACTCAAGTTGTCCCGCTTATCCTTACCATAGGGTTGAATATTGTGTTCAATTGTCAATGGATGTACAGGAGAGAACCGCAGGTACTAGGCTGCTGGCCTCACTCTTAGCAAGCGAAGATAGCGTTCTTGAAAAGATTGCTCCCTACATTGAAGATGCCCAGCGAGCAGTGGCTACGGTTGCTAACATGGATTCTTCCCCCCAACTGCGAGCATTGTGTGAGCAGCTTCTGGGCTGCATGACTAGATCTGATTAGCTACTGCAAGCCTGCAACATCTCTTGTTGATGAGCGCTGGTGCACCATTGAAATCACTCTTGACGAGAAGTCCTGAATTCATGCATTTGAAATGTGCATGAATACGTTTCAAGATTCCAAGTGTCCTTTTGTTTCAGGCAGACCTCTACAAGTCTAGACTGGATAGTATGGATGACTGTTAGGATAGTGCAGGAGCCTCCACTTGTAGCACTCAAGATGCAACGCAAATTGGAGCCCTCTATTTTTGACACTTTCACGTTTATCAAGTAGAGAAAATATGTTCCGCCACAATATTCTCTTGCATGCATCTACGTTATCCATGTTGCTGGTTGAACTCTATTTGCACTTGCCAAAGTGGCCATGTAGGTGTCTAAAAAGTAGCGAACTTTAAGTGTAGAATAATATTAATTGGCCTAATTCATTGCACTTCTTGCAATAAATTACTTACACTATGAAAATGACTCCAATCATCTAAGAATATAAAGAATATATTTACATTTACTCATATCTATGCACTTGAGCTTCTATCATGGTGATCACACTAAGGTAAGCTACAAACAATGTAGGCAAATAATCTATCTCTAAAATCCAAATTTTTTTTTTTTTTTAATCCGTGAACATTTGCAATTTAGATATTGTGTTCTATTAGCAAAGAAGTAAAAAGTTCTTTTAATACAAGTAAATATAATAGTTTACTTTATATACACAATTTTCGTGATTATGCTTCAACACAAGACAATTATGGATGCATAAAAGTGAATTTTAATAATGAATCAAATAACAATTTACAATTTTAATTCCTATATTACAACCTAACATACAATAGTAGTTTAGCTTTTTATTCATCTAAACAACTTTACATATTTTGTTGTTAAGAATATCTTTATTACTATTATTGTGGTGACTCAACCCAATCAAAAAGTATGTATATTATACATAGACTTATCACCATTATTATATGGGGTTTTATTTACAAAGTATAAAGAAAAGAAAAGAAAAAATATTTTAAACATTGCATATTTATTTAGCACCATTGTTTTTTTGCTATCATTTCTTTTTTTATATTTTTTTCTTTTTAGTGTGGTGCTGATAAAAATATAACAATAATAAAAATCTAAAATTATAGAATTATAGAATTTTAATAATAAAAATTTAATAGGTAAACAAACAAAAATCTTGATAAAAATAATAATTTTAACATCTAGCAACTAAGACAACATCAAGTATAAGAAAAGTTCCACCAGTTTGAAAACTGTAATTTTAATGAACAAATTCTTCTCCAAGATTGGATCATCATAAAAATTTGTTGGAAAAATGTCCAACATTGAAATGGCCAATAAAACTTAATTTAGTCAATCACTAACCTTCATGCCATGTTAAAAAAACATTCATTCATGCGCAAGATCTTTGAACATAATTAGGAACTCATAATAAATCTACCTCCAAAGGTAATGTATTATAAAATACATTGTTATATCTTCCATCAAAATAAAAATCAATAAAAAATAAGAAATAAACACTCCAAAAAAAATCTTTAAATTTTAGGGTTCAACTTCATCACAATGTCACTCAAAAGCATGTGACTCAAAATCATGTGTAGCTTGTTGACCAATAAGAAGACTTGTTTGTTCCCCTTGGTATTGTTTCTATCCTAATTAAATTATTAATTAAATTAAATTTACATTTTTATGAAAGAACCCACAATAAGTACTAATCTTTTTATGATTTTTTTTTTTCTTCCTCCATCCTTACATGAATAAGGGTTATAATTGTGGAATCATGCAACACAAATTCTTCCAAGCATTATCACGATATCCGCCTGAAACCCTTCGAACGAATGTAGAATCCACTCTCATCCAACGCCTTCCTCAGGATGAACAGAGCAATGAACTGCCCTTTTCACACCTTCCAAACTTCTGACACTTTCGAGACATCGAACGAGACTTCGAGTGGGAAAGCAAAAGCTAACTCCGAAAAAAGCAAGAGTCGCTAACAACTCCACGGTGCGAACGAAGATATAACCTGGAATGAATTCCTGCCACTGACTCTTCTCTCGCCTCTAGAGGAAGACGCTATGGAAAGCACTTCTGCGTTCTCGTAGATTCAATCGACGCAGAGTTGTGAAGGAGGAGAGTTAGTGAAATCCACCCTTCCGATCGGTCTAACCTCGAGCTTGATTGCGGCATCGATATTGTGTATGTAAGTGTGTGTCGAAATCTTCGGCTTGGGTTCACAATCCCTGCCACACAAACCCCGGACACTGTCGCGAGTAAGCTTTGTTTTGTTTGCTTACTCAATTTGTGAACGTATTGCAGCCATTGCCGCTCTCGGAGGAGCATATCTCTGCAACAGGTTTTTGCAGTTTCTGTCGCTGATTGTATTTGCCCGATTCTGGAAACCTCGGTGGAGAGCTTTACCAGGTGCATTTGAGGCATTGGCAGCGAGTTGTAGGAAGGATTTGGCGTTGGTTTGTGTTTGGTTGCAATGCCGACGCTGAACATCCAGACTAACGTACCTTTGGACGGTGTTGTCACCTCCGATATACTCAAGGATGCTAGCAAGGCCGTGGCGCAAATTCTCAGCAAGCCTGAGTCGGTACGCGCATGCCTGTTGTTGAGTTAGTTTTGTTGTGGTGGATTGAGCTGTGAGTGTGGCGATTACATAGTTTGATGCTCTGTTGACGCGATTTGTCGTGCTGTTTGAGCCGTTTGGTTAAGGGTTGTGCCTTATTGGTTGTACTTCCCATTTTGAGGTTCGCCTTTTTTCTCACAAGAGCAAAGTATTTCGAGTTTTAAGGAAGGGAACTTTTGTGGTCATGGCTAGAGTCTGGAGGGGCTTCTCACATTTGTAAAGAATCTTCTTAGCACTGCCTGGTTCGTTAATCGTGTCTGAAGTGGATCTATTGTGACCCTTTATCCGATATCCTTTAAGTATCTTCTCCTCTTATCTATACGCTACTGTCATGGTTAATTGTCATATTTCTCCAATGTGAATCTTGGAGAGAGTTTGTTGGACAAGCAAAGAGGACGCATAAACTGCAGTTGGTATCCTGTAAGGAATAGGCTCTCTCGGACGTAGAAGATATGTTCCCTCGTCACTCAGTATGAATCGTCTGAATCGTGCATCATCATAATCCAATTAGCACTGCTGTGGAACTTGCCTCTGTTTAGAATGTGCTTGAAGCGTATCTGTCTTAGTACAATACACGCTACCTTTTTCGAACTCTTCTGATTTGCAGCTGACATCGTACTTTTCAGTATGTCTTGATATCTTTGCGTGGCGGCATTCCAATGAGTTTTGGAGGTACTGAAGAGCCAGCTGCTTACGGGGAGCTTATATCTATCGGCGGCGTCGGTCCGGATACAAATAAGCGTCTGAGTGCCGCCATTTCAGATATCCTGAAGACCAAACTGTCTGTCCCATCCAACAGGTTCTACATCAAGTTTTTTGATGTCAAGGTATGGTCCGTACCTCTGTTGAATTTGAATACCTGGAATCATAAAAGGTGATCTTGTTTTCTGTTACCCTGCATGGAATTCAGAAGCCGTTAGGTGACCCTTTCATTCTACATAACTGTCGCTTCCAGATTAGGCAATTTTTCTGGTAGATAGTACTTGTCATGTGTAATCAAATTAATTTCAGAAGTCATTTTGAAACGAACTTTCTTGAAATGTGGTTCAACCTTGTGATGTGACTTGCAGAGATCTGATATGGGCTGGAACGGCTCAACATTCTAGCTACATCTCCATCTGTTTACATTCTGGAATATTGGGCGAAAACATGGCGACGAAGATGGTGTAACTTTCTTAATATGTAGCAATGTGTTGTCTTTGCCATCTTTTTTATGATTGTATGTTTCCTGGCCATCAATAATCAACAAGAGTCATGTACTCCGCCAACAACCGTATTCGTGAGCATCGTGTGATGGGCTTAATGTACTTATTTCATTGAATCTCGTTCAATGCTAAGTACCCACTCTATGTTGCAAGAACAAATAGAACTCTCGTAGGTGGGATTATACAGAAATTGGTAGGACTTTTATTTAAGTTTCCTAATTTGATGTGTATACCTCTGATAGCTGAAGTTATGATGAATAGACATATCGTTCTAACTTTCCTTAAGTATTTTAACATACCTTGTATAGCTACTATTTCTTAACAAATAATATACGCAGCTAGTCGTAGTGTAGCACGCACTAAACGATCTCGTCTATGTACATTTTTCAATGGTAAGCGAATTGGTGACAAACACGAGCAGGCATATCATAGAGAGCAAAATGATGTTCAATCAGGTTGATGTAAAACAACCAGACACACATCTGACAGTTCTGAATTGGTCATTGCAAATTATCAAACAGCTTATTGATACAAAAATACAACCAGAGAATGTCTTCGAACGAAATCCTAGCGTTCGTGCGACTGCATTGCTGAAACAGCACATGAATAAATTACAAAGCTTCAAGGCAATAACAGCTTGAAGAGAGACATCTTGCTGCTGCGCTCTGAATTTCCACAACCCCATAGTTATCAGATAAATCCCTTTCCAGTGTCGCCTTCTCCACATAAGCTCAGTCTGCCTATCTACCTGCTTCCTGAACCACAAATTGCAGCATTATGAGGATCTCCCAACTACAGAGCACTGAATGTGTGCCTGATTACTGCCTAAATCAATGAATATAATCCGTAAGAGAGGTGGCACAGGGTCCCTAAAAGTGACTGCAGACAATAAATTTTACCACACCGACTGCTTGAATGGCAGCCCAGAGCTACGTAGACAGGGCAACGTTGACAAGCAGTGACATATCTATCGATACACCCACCGAGGGTGTCAGATGGCTTCCACCACACCCATTGAACTGGATGATGCATCTTGTTGTCCATGCTTCAGAGGTGAAATCAATTCAAACGACCACAATCATAATCAAACACGGCAGATGCAGACTGTGGTCGACAGCCCCAAGTCACCGTGCTTGGACAGTTTGACCTCCGATAATAGGATGATTAAAAAGTAAAAAATAAGAAAGAATCACTAGTGATGATTCCTATTGGTACGGGTGGTTATTCCGTGCAGCAACTTGGTGAATCCAACAAAACTTAGCCTGCCATCTGAGTGCCTCAACCATTCATGGAATACTTGTGCAGGTACATTCGGCGCTAGTCCTACCTCCTGTATTGTGATCAGAAGGGAAGTAAATCAGCTACACAAGCTACTAAAAAAGTGACAGATTGAAAAGAAAAGGGGAAAAAAAAAAAAAAAAAAAAAAACACACACACACACACACAATTGGGTTGTATGAAAACAGCATAGTCTACTCAAATGACTGGCAAACTGTGGTGCAGAAGGGGTGATGTGACGAAAAATAAGCTCACCAACACATCAAAGAAGGACGGAAGGACGATGTACAATGAATAGAAGAGAGATTCTTACGCGAGCAAGTTCTTCTACAGAAATAGAACGGTTTCCTTCCTTTTCAAATATATCGAAAGCAGCACGAGCATGTTGTTCCCAACGGTCTGTCCCTTCTAACTGGTGCACACTTATGGCCGCTGCACAAAACTCTGAGAAATCCATCTTCTTCAACGAAAGCGCATCCATCTGTAGACACAACAATGGATCAGCACTTCCACCAAAATGCACCAAGGAGCCACACAAACACAAGGACACATTTAAAAGATCAATAGGTAAGGCAAAATTAAGTAGCTGTGAGATTAACTGCATGAGAAAAGAAGCATATTCATGTAGAAACTATGAACAAGACAGTTGAACAAAAGCGTACGAGTCATGACAGCTTGTTCGACACGCCCCAGTTGAGATAACACACATGAAGCCTCGAGGATATAAACTGATGAACAACTTACCGAGTTCAAAATATCAAACACTCGTGCCTCCTTCATAGCTTCGGTTGAATTTTTCATTAATGCCTGTGCAAGCATGACCAGCCCACATAAGTCAGAGCAGTAGGTCAAAAGAACACCTTCGCACAATGTAGATAGATTGAACGCATAGTTAACACTGAGTACACTTACGATGTACAAGATCATCACCATCAAAAGAAACTACACCTTGCAAGCAGTCAATGCTGAGGAAAATGAAACATAAAACAGAAACAAAAAAGAAAAACAAGACATTGAGTGAGTCAAATGTCAAAGATACTAAAGTACGTGTACCCACCTGTTTAAAATTATCATATGAAATACGACCACTTTTATTGGGCTCCAGCAACGAAAATTGAGTTTGAAGGTACGACAATTCATCTTCTGTAAGGGTCTTTGACAGTGCCTGATGACAAAATCAAGAGCGCTATACAGATCATTACATGTTCTTCTACCAACTCATAAATACATCGATGACTAATTGAAACTGAAACTACTCCATCGCTGGTTAGAGTCCAGAACATTTGTAATTCCATCTTCTTCAACTAACTAAACCAAGAATATTAGGGGAAGGATAATTTTCCTGCCACCAACCTTTAAGGCAGCCCGCCTCATGGAAGTTGCACGAAGATAAGCTCTCACCAGTCTGTACACTATGATATCCAGGGGGATCTCCACCTTGTCACTTCGAATCCATGGATGGGCTGCAACCTCCCACAAAAAACTTAGTGACAACTCTGCGCTGCCTACAATTTCCAAGATTTAAGGTACTGCGAAGTAAAACCCACAGTGGCATATTATAGTATAAGAGGAATGAATAGGTGGTGAATGTATGGGAGTAAAAACATACTTAGGGCTTGTGCAGCAGTCATGCGTTTCCGACTATCTTTGTTGAGTAGTCGCTTCACGAAATCCTTGGCTTCAGGCGAGACTGAAGGCCAGGGAGCCTCGTCAAAGCTTGGGTCAGCTCGCAATACTGCCCGAAAGATACCAGACTCTGTCCGCGCCCAAAACGGCCGGCTACCACATAATAAAATGTACGTGATTACTCCAATGCTCCATACATCAGCTTCCATGGAATATGACCTGTGCAATACCTCGGGCGCTACATAGTATGCACTACCTACAATGTCATTCAGTCTTTCATCTGCGATCCAACTAAAACAGATTATAAAGAGTGTTCCAGTCTCTGCATATGGACAACCTAAACAAACAAAGACGTTAGCATTATAGCTGCCGCACACAAGCCAAAACTAGTCTCAGTTCACAACATCCGAACCTAGTCTATTATTCAAAACCAAGTACAAGTACCATCAAATAATGATCTGGTCACAAAATTCACTCCCTCACGGTACTAGTCACCAATCGCACCTTGGGACGTAGAAAACATGTGAATGATTTTTGGCATTCATGGTTGATACGCAATACACACCACAGAGATTGCAGCCATATGCAAAGTAACTCACCAGGCTTGATAAAATCTGATAATCCAAAATCAATGGCTTTAAGTTGCGCATATTCATCCTTCGTAGTAAAAAGAAAATTCTGTCCGATAAAATCATTCGAAGAGAAGTGTCAGACAAGACTACACTGTTGGGGACAAACGAAAAACACCTCAAAGTCGTGAGATTACTACAAGGAATTACAAAATTCAAATCTCGAATTCTGATAAATAAGCAGAATCTAGGAAACTTTGATAATTTGACCATTAGGTTTATGGATTTTCAAAAAATCATTTTGGAACGCTTCTCGGCATAGTAACAGTGTTTTGGTCGAATTGAAACCACTTCGCTAAGACGTTAGCATAAGTACATACTACATTACGAGCTCACTAAAAAATTAGAACCCTGACTCCTTGAGAAAGGCAGGTCTCTTTGATGACTCTGATGGGTGGGATGCCCGCACCTCAGGCTTCAAATCGCGGTGAACAACACCTTGCAGGTGACAGAATGCGACAATGCTTAAAATCTGTTGCACGACAATCTTGGCGTCGTCCTCCGTATACCTTCCACCCCTGCACAAGCACGTCCAGACCAGATAGAGGTACAAGAGCAACGAGTGAGACGAAAACTACACCAAACCTACCGTGGCAAAAACCTCCTCAGCCATTCATATCAAATACAGTAGCCTCGAAAAATGCGGCATACAATGCTCAGCTTACTCCAGTAAAAAGTAAATGCAACAGCGGTAACTGACTAAATAGAGTCAAACATACGAACATACTTTTCTATTTGTTACCACACCATGCGAAGCACCCATAAAACAAGGGAAAACATCCAAACCACCTGAAAAACCGCTCATCACATGCTAAATTCTTACCGCGTCAAAATACGATCCAAGAGTTCACCTCCTTCGCATAACCTGCGTGAAAGGTTCGGCAGATGTCATACTAAGAAGGGCTATGTCAGACATGTGAAATACAACACAAATCAATTGATGTCAGTCGCAGCGTCAATTGAAGAATCCGGATTCGTTACACCAGTGTAGCCTCTGCCGATCAGAAACAGCTATGCTAGAATCAAATCCGCCCAACAGCACCGTTGCTTACTCCATCACAATGTATACGTTCAGAGCGTCCTCGCGAGCATCATAGAACCGGACCAAGTTGTGATGTCCCGTCAGAGCCTTCAGGATCTTCACTTCTCGTCGCACGTCCTCGATGGCAATGGCAGTTGTCATCTGGCACAGCATTTTTCCAACGAAGTCTCAACATCTTCCAGTCCCACTGAACTCACAAGACAGGTCAAATCAAACACTTAAAAACAACCTATGTGCACCATATGCATTACCAACCGCTAATCAGTGTGGATACTTCTTGTCACACACATTCTCCCGCTGCACGAGGTCAGTTCACAGCTCAATCCACGGCTGACGTCCTCATAACTGCGTCGATTGCTAGAGCACATTCAGACTCTCATCCCTTAAAACCTGCATTGCCCTACCGACCACTACACTCCGCTCAATTCCACTCTTCTGTCAATGCTCCACGAATCTGTGTGGGCAAACAAGCCATTCCGGTTGGCTGCAGCCACATTCGCACCCTTGGTTCAATCCCCATACAAAAAACCACCCTCTGGGCAAATTTCAGCTAGTGCGCACAACAATAAGCACGCCCATGACGACAGCAGACACCCACCCCATACCTTCGCCTTCGAAATTATCTTCACTGCGACCGGTTGCCCCTTGTGGTCACCCTTCTTTATTTTCGCATAACATGTGTGCCCGAAATGACCCCGACCCACTTCGTGCCCAAGCTCATACTTGTTCGTGAAGTTTTTCGGGTACCCGAAATGTTTGTCCAACGGCTTCTCATTATCCACCGACTCCAGTGTCGCCCCTGCCTCCTTCGGCTTCGCCCCATGCCGCTTCACAAGTGACGACTGGATATGTTTAGCGGGAGAAGGGGGAGGAAATGGCCGCTTAAAAAAACGACGCGGGGTCGAAGGCGCGGGGGAGCTAGCGTAAGGAGGTAGCGGACTAGCTGACGGATGCCGCGGAGACGGGTGACTACTACCGAACGGCGTCTTCTGTCTCATGGGCGACGCTCCTCCGTTGTTGAAGCTGGCCCGGTTGCTGTTCCTGCGAGATCCATGTTTCGAGATAGGAGTCTTAGACGCCGAGAATTCATCACCATTGTTGAAATCGTCCCCTTCAGGTCCGACATATTTACCATAACACTGACCCATTGCATCGGATCCCTCTCCCGTGCAAGGGCGATCTAAGTGTTATCCCCTTAACAAACCCCACTCTCCCTGCGCCTCATATCCTCCTCACCCCAACGCTCACACAACAAGGCTGTCCTTTAAGCTCCACCATCTGCTGCACTCGAAATCAACTAACCCACTGTGTCTACCACTCTCAACGCTGGGCCTGCGTTGAGCTCTTCTCCTCCCGCGAGACCCTGCTGCGAAGCTCTCTGCGCGGCGGCGGTGGTCATGGTCGCTGCGAGTCGCATCCGCCGCACTTATCACCGCACGCGTCCAAAGTGGACTACGACAATTAGGAGTTATGGGTAGTGTGCAGAATCGAGCAAAACGACGATGCAGCATCCGCAACAGCCTCACCACGCAGAAAAATCAGAGCAACCTCAGTGTCACGGAAGCAGCCCCGACCGCACCCCCGCCCTGCCTGCTGCTGATTAGCGAAGCTTGGGGCCCGCCCGGTACCGTCCCCGCGGGGCCTTTTGAACGCCCCCCTCCGTCGCTTTCATCCCTGAATTCATTCACTATGGCGTCAGCATTTATTCATCCATTTTGGGACTCCTTTCTGACTGCGCCAGTTGGGTGGGTGACCTGGCAGCTTGTTGGAGCCTCGTGCGGATGAGTGGATGAAGTATTTTGGATAAATGAAAATCCTTGTGTGGATGATGCTCGCAACGGCCTCATCCGTATTGATGGATGTCCTCCTCCGTATGTGCGTTCGTTTGGCCTTTCATCTCAGTTTTCATTCATCCATCATTGAATAATGCACTCTTACACTATGAATGCTCACTTGATGGCCCATTGAGTGGCGTCACAAACAAACAAGCACTAGACTTCACCCATTAAAGTATATATATATATATATATATATATAATATATTGTTCCAATTTTTCTACTGTTTTTTTTTACTCTGTTCTTATTATTATTATTATTGATTAGAAAGAGGGCTCGATTTGGGAAACCTAGTAACTGGAGTCAACTTTTGGGCTTTAAAAATGAATGCATGTTATCTTGATTGAAAACAAATGGGAACATGGCATGGGAATACTTTGCCTTGTTTGTATGTCAGTTCTCACATTCATTGTTGGGTCCTTTTTGTACAGTGAGAGAGTGCATATATGTTTGGTTTTTTCTAAGTCTTGGGTTTCTATGTGATCATCAGGTGCAGTTTTGGTGTTTTTATTTTGTGCCATATACATTTTTGGTACAAGCTTTCTCATCAATGATAGAAATCATGCCTCGACAACAACAACAACGACAAAAATGAATTTTATTTTATTTTATTTTATTTGTGAGATGTTATTCTACAAAAGGGTATTTTATAATCCTGTAATTTATTTATATTTTTACATTTTCCAATTTTATCTCTTCGCCTTTTTTAAAGACGTTATCTTTGGTAGAATATATAATATCTTCCTTTGAATTTTTGAAGTATATTTACATTACCATACAATTTTGGGATTGGAAAAACTGTACATGCAAACACATACATGCACAAATGAGGCAAAAGATAAAACCTTCACAATTTTTCAACTACTAAAATGCAGAACTTTGTTCAAATGAGAATTATGAGAAAAATGAGAAAATTCAAAAGTTAATATATATATATATATATATATATATTCACATGGTCCATGTAAAAACAGTGTTTTTAATGTGCTTCTGTACATGTGAGTGTGTATATATGTATATTATATATATTATACAAAAGAATTGTACAATTTCATAAAAAGTACAGACATGAAAAAACTGTTGAAACTACATAAAATTATGTGCTTGTGTTGAAATTTGATATGTGATTAAATAAATAAAAATGCAACTATGGCAATCCATCTCTACTTTCAACAAAAGATGATTTGTACTTGAAATAAAATAATAAAAGAAACGCAAATTGATAAACTGTTGTTAGAACATTAAGAATAAGTTTCATATATATATATATATAGTTTAGATAACTTGTGATTCATCACATAACTTACAATTCTCAATCAATGCCACAATGCTTTTCTGAGAGCTTCAACGAAGTGGTCAAAGAATACTTCATTCTCATGAAATGAACCAAGGTTTCAAATTGTTGTTAAGAATTACAGATGAGATTGACCAGAGGCTGAGAATAGTGAATTTTCAGATGTTTCCAAATGAATAATATTATTGTTTTGATGCAATAATGTCATGATAAAGAAGTAAACAATTATGGGCTGAAAACTGTAGAAAAAAATAAACAAATAATAGTACAATACTGTTTAAGTGTAAGTCTTGTAATTCGGCCGTTATTAATGTATTGTAAAATATACAAAAAGAAAAGAAAAAAGAAAATGAAAAGTATAAACTAAAATTAACCACAGTTGGTCTAGTGTAATTTTTTCAGTGATTTAACAATATAATTCAAACATAAGATTTATAGGAGAATCAATTTACAAATTTCAGTAAAATATATACATATACATACATGTGCACAAAAAAGCACAAAATGTATAAATTAAACAATTTTTCTAGTAATCAATTAATAGACATAAAAAAGTGAAAAATGTTATTATCACAAGATAGAAAGTAGCAAAGCAGTATGCAAACTTTTGAAGAAGAAGATTGTAATAAAATAAAATAGAGCATATTACACTTGCTTTATTAATTTAAAACCATAAAAAAACAAATGGAAGTGACAAATTGACATGCATGTAGGCTTACTCCAAGAATTGTCTTGTGTATTAGTTTCCATGGCGAAATATTATAAAACTTGATTTTTTTTTAGCTTCTAGAAAGTTCTCCACTGAAAATTATTATATGTCTACTTAAGCAACTTAAGAAAATGAAGAGGCGAAATAAAATTTGCTGGTAATATTTTCAGTTCAGAAAATAATCGGGTAGTGATTTATGGAAAATTATAATGCAATATCAATTGATACATAGAAACATCAGAGGAAAACAAAAACAAAAAGTTAACTAAAATAAATATTGTACTCCAAAGGATTAATATGAAACATAAATGAAAATCAAATATAAAATTGTATCATCAGGAAAACGATATAAATTTTGAGGATTTAAAGACAAGGTTGAAGAAAATTAGTTTATGACTATCATCATATAATATCAAAAAGGATGAGTATTATTGTGTGCGATTATAATATGGATTCTTTAAGTACTAACATATCACTTAGCAATGAAACTCTTAGAAAAAACGATAATTTGTATACATATTTTTATATTGTAACAATGAAAATATAACCCTGAATTATAAAAGTAGAAGAGCTATACAGATAATTTAAACATTCAAACCTACATGCAATTTTTAAAATGAGTTTAAGAAAAATTGCTTTTGAGACTTTAAAATTATCAATTTCAACTTGAAAATACATCCTTATTCCAGTAGAGAAATTTTCATTTTGATCATGAAATTTGGGAAATTATTTTTAGATATTTGGTTGTTCAAGAAAAGATGTGATCATTTGTTACAAATCAAACTAACCACCCATAACATCAATGATATGATTATCTTATAAACATTTACTCTGAAAAAAATAATGAGCACATGATAAGATTGTGAATATTGATGTAGGCAAGCATGAAGAAAATATTATGATTATGTTAAAAAGATTTTTGACAGAGTTTTATTTTTTTATTTTATTGATTGTTTGTTTGTTTGTTTGTTTTTTAAGTATGATATTTGAGCATGAAATATTTGGGATTAATGAATTTTACAATCGATGGCTGTAAGAAAATCACATCTCCTATAACCCAAATTTCAAGATATTAAGCCATGAAAATGACAATTTGATTTTCACAAATAATGGTATTTAAAGTAATCACACACAAAGAAAAAGGATTCCTCAGATATCAATTCAAATTATAAGAATAATCACTTATTGCAATTTGACATTGAGCACATTGCAATCACAAATAACAGTGGAATTGATAATGCAAGAGTTTTCATTGATGATAACAACATGTTGACTTATTTTTAATAATAGACCTTCAATTTCAATGAAACTATGCAATTATAGATTAATGCATTTAATCCAAAGCAACTTTTTTTTTAAAATTTTTATCAAAATACATCCATCAGTATTTTATTAACTTTACTTTCACCCATAACAACTTTTTACAAGCAGATGAATTGAAAAGAAAACACATAACAAATTCAATACCATCTAGAGTACCATCTGAGTAGTTAGTATTGCTATTTATGTACCATAAACAGTGAAACCTGCACTTTCATAAAATGTGAATTTTAATTGATATCTGTTTAACAATCTTTGTTTTTATATTTATATATGTATATATATATATATATATATATATGTGTGTGTGTGTGTGTGTGTGAGAGAGAGAGAGAGAGAGAGAGGGAGAATGAGGATCCTAAAATTGTGACAATACTAAAATTTATATTTGAGTAACTTATTACTTGTTTGTAGCTGTTGCCATAGAAAATGCCTTCACAACCATTGATGATTTTTAAAAATAATCAATTTATACAAAAAGTTAAAATCACACAATACATTTTCAAAGAAAAAAACAACACCACAATTTACATGAATTTGTATTCAAAAAAACAATCCTTAAACATTATAACACCATTTTTTTTCTTTCTCAATTTGAAAGGATAACATCCATAAGAATACATACTAAATAAATCATATAAGCCTACATACATAAACACATTGATACCTACTCTATTAGAACTGTATTTCTAAAAAAATTACATTGAACAACGATTAACTCATTTTCATGTCAACAGACAGATTCTTGTTGATTGAAAACCTCACTAGACCAAAAAAAACAAAAAAAAAAAAAAAAAAAAAAAAAAAACCTCACAACAATGGATAAAAAAAAATATCACCAATTTTTAACCTCATCTTTTCAACAACAAAGTTACAATATATCCATATATATATATATATATATATACGAATATGAGTACACTCGTGTATTGTACAAATTTTGCAACTCATAAAATTATTGCTATTATCTATTTACAAATCTGCAAAGAAAGTGAAACCCTAGACTCTCAACTTGCTATGCTTGTGGATTGCAACCAAAGTGAGGGGAAGGGTGGGTCAGTTAGATAGATAGATGAATGAAATTGAGATCCTCGTACGGATGAATGAAATTGCAACACAAGGACGAATGTGTGAATTTATGGATGGATGAAGTGCGGGTGAGGTAGGGGAGCCTTGAATAAATACCCTGCCTTGGGCCTGGGCACACGTTGTCATAGCCTGGGCCACCAGCCACATGTGACCATCCCCATCCTTTATTGTCATCTGTGGAAATGGAGTGAGAGAGTGAGAGAGGGACAGGACTATTCCAGCTATAAAACATGCCTCCTCCTGCTGCTACTGCTGCTGCCCCACTGGAACTGTACTGTACCATTCCCATCATCATCCACCCCCTCACACAAGCTCCTCCACATGCTTGGAGTGTGTATTTTTAATATTAAAATCCCATTGTTGGG